TCAGTGTATGGAATCCTGCCCCTGATAAAAAAAACAAAAGTATGGTATCAAACATTGTAATAAAACAAATCTGTCAACAAAAATGCATACAAGACACTACACTACGATGATTGCACCAATAACTTGTAAGATGCTGCATTACAATAACTGTATTTATGAGTCAACAAATTTAACATGTTACGGGACTGAAAAGTTGAACTTGTTAACCTGTTGAGAGCCAAATGTTTGTTCACACTCAAATTTGGGTAAACTTGTTCACATGTAATTTTCACTGAATTCAATTTCAATTTTAAGGCAAACAAACAAAACCCGACATTGCTTCAAATTTTTAAACAAAAAACATAGAAATTTTCATAACATTTTGTGTGGAATAGAGCTGATCGACTTTGGTACCAACAGGGTTAATCATGTAATGTTAAATCTGTACTAGAAGCCACATCTCTAATAGAAGACGCACCCACTCTTTTTAAATAATTGAGAAACAAATATTTGTCATTTCTTACATGTGTAGATGCTCTAATAGAAGCCGCATCCCTTCTGTTGCATTTTACCATTTTAATAGAAGCAGAGGCTTCTAATACAGATTTTACAGCAAATGTTCTTCACAAATGTGCTGAAAAGGTGCTAAAAATGTTGAAAATGTGACTTACTTGGCTGCTGGGTCATAATCTGACCAAACACGTACATATTCATCAAGATGATGAGCTCCCAATATGGAAGCATCTCTAGTTAGGTAATCGAAATTATCCATGATAACAGCAACAAAGAGATTCAACATCTAGAGAAGTGAATACATCCAGCAAATTTAATGAATGAACACGCATTTCATCATGAATTACATCCAAACAAAAAGTATCGACAGTATTCCAAATTCTGTACCATATTTGCTTTCAATACTTAGTTCAGCAGGATTTTAAGTATGTTTACCGAAATCACTAGCTTTAATAATGCTGAACACTGAATACAAAATTAAAAAATATAATTTTCCATATTTCATTCAACAATTTTGATAAAATGTAGTACTTTTGGTCCTAAATGAACAAAGTGTTTTACGCACATGTTGTGTGGGAATGATGGATTTCTCATCTCATCAGATTTCAGTTTTTCATACTTTAGCACAATATTAGTTGAGTAAATACAAACAAATTATTATATATTATTATTACGCAATATATAATTACGATATTTCTAAATATTTGATCAATTTTGAAATAAACAATGAAAGTATTGTTTTCACATTTTCAGAAACCAGTAATCAAGAATCCACAATAGGGACCTGAAAATTATTTGTTTCTGCTAATAGGCTTCAGTTTCTATTTCTAGAAAGAATGATGATAGAATTAAAAACTAAATTAAAAAACTAGGAGACAAATTAATTATAGTTATGATTAGAATTTTTCTATAGTAATAAATTAATAACAATGGCAGACAAGTAATAACATTTTAAGAGATTCAATGAATTTAAACTTTAACAAAAATTTGTAAGACATTATTCTATAGATGTATAGATATAATATAATATAGGCTAAATTAGATCTGTACAGAAATATTTTTCATAATTACATGTTAATAACAATGCAAAACTACAAAATCAATTAGCATTCAAAAGAAAATTAGATAGTTTTCAATTTATAAAAATAAAAGTTGTACTATTGTATAACTAAACGTTATATTTTAGTTCATGTTATTTAACAATCATAAGCTGTTTATATGCAATCTGAGAAACTAGATGTTTAACTAATCTGCAATATTATAATTATCCATGGAATGGGATCTGAATGGAAAATATGGGAATAACTAATGGTGAATCTGAATGGCAAAAATGTGTGCATCATTTTAGGAAAACAAATTGACCTGAAATGCTTTTTTTTTTAACAGTTATACAAATAAATTTACAGAAAAAGCTTTCCTGTAAAGAATAAAATTTTGGAACTAACTTGAATGTGGGGAGTATAGAAAAAATGTCTTTGTGATAAAAATGTTTAATGCTTTAATCAAAATATTTTGCAGAATAACTTCTTTTTAGATTTATTAATAGTACAACTTTAATATATACTTATTTGTATTGCATAGACAATATTTTTGAATTAAAATTGTAAATCTGCTGTAAATAAAACACCTATAATTTAACAATTACTCAACATGCATTTACAAATCCATCCCCAAAAGTGCAATATAAGGTGAACAGATCTAAAGTTAGCAAGATTACGGAAATGAAAGAAAACCCATGATTGGGATTGAGATGGATTGAGTTAATGGAAATAACACCACTTACCAGAAATGAGCTCATGAAGAAAAAGCTTACGAAGTACAAGTAAGAAAAGTTAGAGCCACAATTGCCAGCTCCCATACCAGTCGTTGGTGCACAGTCTTGGCCAGAGGCACATGCTAACATAATTTCTTGCCATGCCTCGCCGGTACAACACCTATATGATGTGGGACAGGGTGCAGAAGAATCGTGGAGAGAAAGTTCATGCTAGCATCATATAGTGCAATGTAGATGAGTCTGCATGATTAGTGTGATATGTAGAAATAAAATCAAAACTGTCTGTTTCCTAAATCTTCTGTTTTGTCACCACATTTTAATTACCAGATTTGAATTTGAAGAAGTTTTGTGTTGATTAAATGCTTTTTATTCCAGAACATTTTTAAAGTTTAAGGAGATCATAAGAAACAGGCAATTTTGTCCCTGGCTGCAGGAAAATCCATGGTGTGACTTGATGGTGAGAAAGCTGTAAAGGAAGACTGCCTAGAAGTCAAGAGTTTGGCATGAGTCAGGAAAAAAAGAGCAAGATTGCTTGGTGAGTAGAGAAACCACACTGATCCCATCCCGCTTGACACCCTGTCCAGAATGTCCTGTAGAACCAACACTTACCAAAAATGCCATCAGAAACACAAATGACACAAAAAATACATAGGTGAAGTCTGAACCACAGTTATTTCCAGGATTGTGATTGGCAGGATATGGAGCACATGGACGCCCAGATCTACAAGCCAGCATAATCTCCTGCCAGGCCTCTCCAGTTGCACACCTGTAATCATTCGTGTCAGTTTCAAGATGGACTAACACAGTTAACAGACAAAAACACACAACACATACAAACACTGGAGTTGCAGTATAAATAGATGGTTCACTGTCAACAATATACCGATAGTTCCTGTCCAGTATATATCAGAAACGGAATTACTGCTTTGGGGGAAATCATTGTTACCTTGGAAACAAGTTCAAGCACCCTCTTTTTAATTGCTCTTCATCGTTCATTATCTTTTGCTTAGCAAAATATTCAGAAACTGCAGTGACTTTTCCTCATATTAGATAGCCACATTCATCCTTAATTAAGTTTTAATAAAATCATTCCACAGAGGTCAGATGATTTTTAGGTGGGTCTACCAAATTGAATCAGATGTTTTCATAAGGATAAAACTTTGTGCTGGTCTGTTCAGTGGAATAACCTGTCATATCATTGTAACAGTTGCAGATCAGAAAAATATAATGTAAACTGTCCTGGGTAACAGATAAGATTACTTCACTGTGCATGATAGGCATTTTTACATTAAATTATAAAAATGAAAATTTTTGTGGCAGAAGTTTGATCCCTATCTTTCACATTATTATACACTGTCATCGTAACACCACAAGTTACAGCGTGCTGTAATTTTGCGGTATTTTACAGGGGTATTTTCATTCAACCATATTAGGAAATGTTAATTCCAAATATGGAATGATTATGCATAAGCGTCCTCTAATAATAAAAACAAACATGGCTGCCATCGGGGTTTGACCTAGCCTCCACACAAAGAAGTTCGCATATTCTGTTCTAAACTTTTTGGATTTCGGAATTCCCATAGTGTATC